TGAATTGTTCATGGACTTCAAAGTGCTGGCTGCTGTGCTAACGAGGGGAGATTTGCATAAGGCCCTAATCAGGCGCATACTGATTAAGCTTCATTATGGAAACTGCCAGCTGCAATCTTTGTTTCTATTTTATTACAAAAAGGGGAACTTTTCACGCTTCAGTCGCCTTGACAATGTCAGACACAGCTAGTAGGAGAGACTAAAACTCCACAGAGCAACTGAAGTTTCCCTGTTCAGTTGAAGATTGCTATGGTGTAACTGAAGTTGTATTTCTTCCCCCACCTCCCCACTCCCTTTCTTGTTCGGTCGAGAGCAGTAGTGTAGATTTGATAGAAATTGCCATTCTCCCTTTCCTTGGACTATCTGAACCTGTAGAGGATACCACAGCAATGCTGGACTGCAGCGACTACGTTCTAGGTGGGTACCAGCTCAGCTCTTTCTTATAAGTGTTTAATATGGAAATAGAGGCTGTGAGGTTGACTATGCATAGAGGCTTAATCACATATGCAGAGGCTGGAGAAGGTATTTGTAAGGCTGAAGCTCACCAGTGAATCGGCAGCAAGTAGCTGCCTGGTAGATAGATAGATAGATCTGTACCAGGGAAATACATGGGTTTGGGTTTTTTTTTTTTTTTTTCCTCCTTTCCCTCGCTCCAGGAGAACTCGTTTCCTTTGCACTGGAGAGATTTGCTGCTAGGCTTGGATGATATTAATACAGACCTTCTGCTTTTAGGATTTCAATCTGAGAAGCATTTGGCTTCTAACAAACACTGGACTTTACTTGCATATCTGTGTGTTATGAATTTTAAAGTATTAAAATGAATGAGAGAGTGTCCCAGTCTCAAAGAATTTAGTAGCTGTATTGAGCCATTCCCCAACAGAATGTACGTTATGTCTGTGTATTTTTAATGTAATAGCAAGGTTCTTCATGCGTAATAGAAAATAAGGTGGAGTCCACAGTGGTTGCCATTGATACCGTTGCAAGCTGTGCCTAAGGTTACTGGGATAATGTATTGCCTGCGCTGAGATTCCATCAGGGCTGCAGAACAGACATGCCGTAATTTCTTCATGTCTTTTATTTATAATAACAGATGATCCCAGTTTTACAATAGGTTTTATTTGTTTTCAAGGCTCTTTCCCCAAAGCCTGACGTATAGATTTTTTTTCTTACTATTCTTTTGATTCCATTATATAAGCTCATGTAAGAACTTATATGTCAAAGAGAACATATTTTTGGATGGTAAATTTAAAAAGCAGACATCTGAATGTTTGTTTCTGAATATGAAATGTTCTTTTGAAAATGAATTTCTAGTGAATTCTTGGCATGTTTTCACTCACATTGAGCTTTGGTTTTTCCATACGCATCAGTGAATCATTTTTGCTGGTGCTGATGGAGTATTAGGCAGTTTCACTTTAATGGGTGAAAGGAAATATTTAATGATATATTCCATGTTAAGATTTTCTGTGTTTTACTAGCTATGTACAGTCCCTAATACTCGAGGTTGGTCCAGTGTCCGCTGCTTCTTTCTTCTGAATACCTTTTGAAATGTTACTGAGGGTGTGTGAAAGCCTGGCACAGCACTGCCTTGCGACTCCCTCAGCCCTGCTAGCAGAGTAGCAGTACTGAACATATTCACTCCTGAGAGTTTGATTTCAATCCTGCACCTGCTGCTTTCGATCCTTCCTTCTGTGGAGTTTGTTTTTAGATAATGTTGACAGAATTTGTAGCCCAGGGCCTTTATTTAAAATCCAAGTAAGATCTGAAGGAAAAAGAAAAGGTGAGGGCATTATGGTTTGTTTTTTTTAGCCCACTTCATTTGTTTATTCTTTTAACTTTAAAGCAGAAATCGTATGAGCATGTATAAACCAAATAATCTTTTTATTTGATGTATAATGAATCCGCAGGTTTAGTATCCTGTGGATATATGTCTGTTTTGCTGGTAGCAGTTTTGTGCTTCAGATGTATGTCATACCATTTGCAATGGAAATAGCGGCATTGTTCTTGATGCTTTACATGCAGAAGGCCCACAGATTGAACAAGAAATAGTCAGCTGGTGAAATAATGGATGCTATCCTTCATTTGAACCTGAGCAGTACTAGAAAGATGTTTCTTCATCCAACTTGCTGCTTTTTTGCAATAGCAATGTTTGAGATCTTTGTTAGGGATGAATCTTTACAATAAAATAGTCTTCATTTAGACATGCTTTTGGTAGTTGAGTAAACTTTATGTGAATGTCTAGTACTAGGAAACACAGAAAACCTTTTTTAAAAGGATTTATTTTGCAGCATAGCCTGAAAGAAAAACATGTCTTAGTTGCTTTATGAAAGAGGTCTGTACAGTTACAACTTTGTCCTCAGCAAACTTGCTGGTCATGCAGGAAGGTTTGTTGTATGGGCTTCCTCGTACAGAGGGAACAGTCACTACATTGCTTGGAATTCTGTGCATGGGGCAGTTGTGTCCTCTCTCCGGGTTTAGTTTGTTTATTCTACCGTTAGTATCTTGCACGGTGGCTCTAATACTTCAGTTTCTGCAACAAACTAGCACAGGAGGCCCTGTGTTGTTTTTCTTGCAAGAGCCTTCTGAAGTGGTTCAGTGAATGGATCCCATGTTATTGAGAGACAATCTTCTCAGCCTGTGCTCTTCCCTTCTGTCATCAGTGCTATCATGAGCTCAGGCTACTCTTGTGCTCTGGGCTTAAAAAATACGTCCTATGTCCAATAGCCGCATGAGTTAGCCTAGTTTCCAGAATTGTATTGGACTTGTAAGCCCTCTTTGCTCATTTTCCTGTTGGATGAGGACTCTTCATGTTTGTGTCCAAAGAGAAGTCTCCCATTCAGTGTTCTCCGAACCTAAACTAATTTCAGTAGCCAGCTGTGTGTCAATGAATGAACTAACGCTGTTTGTCAAATGAATGTTGCCTGTAATCACTTTGAATAAAAGTACAGTTGCCACAACAATAAACTCAATTTAAAGTACATGCAACTTCTAGATAGAAACATACTTGTATTAGTTTTACACACAGATCTGTCAGTTTTTTTTTAGTGGCACATCAACAACCAACATTTCCGTGCAGTCAGTGGAACCCATGTTCTGTTTCTAGAGTGTGGATCATACTATCCAAATGTGAAAAATGACAAAATGAGGAGCCAGGAATCAATAGGTTCTGTATCTGTGACCGTAGCAGAGCTCTGTCTTTCAAGACTATGAACTTGTAGGTTGAATCTGCTAAGCAGAGGTTGTGAAAAATGGGGCAAAACTTGCAGTCTTTTGCTGAAGTGTGGGCCAGCCAGTGCTCAGCTGGAAAGTTTCTCCGCACTCACTCCCCCTTTCAAAAAGCAGTTTAACACATCTGCCTTTATACTAAGAGTAACATTGATAGTTCAGATCTCTTTTACACGTGGCTGACATTTGAAAGATTTAAGCATAGGCATAGGAACTTTTTGAGACGAGTTGAGGCTCTGGAGAGCTTGACTTAACTTGTCAGGGGAAGATTCCTGTTTGTTACAGTCCTCTGGGTTTTCTAGGCCCTAGTGGGTTCAACTGCAGCAGTTGTTTACACGAAAAATTACATTCGTTTTAAAAATATTGACGCATCTTAAATTGTTTCCTAACTGCTTATTGGAGTTTTTCCAAGGTTGATGTCTTATCTTTTCTCTCACACACGCTGCATTTCTAACTAGCTCCCTCCTCCTCCCACCCTGCACTCCCAGCCAGGCTTCATCATGACTCCAGTTTTCATTCAGGCCCTGTCCACGTGCTTCGTTCCTCCTGGCTTGTGCTTGTGTTCGTCTGCTGCTGTTGCCCCTGGTTCTGATAGCCTGAGGGTGGCACTGGTCTCTCTGGGCAGTAGCAGGTGATAGTACATGGCAATAGTCCAGCTTCTCATTTCCAACTCTCACAGGCTGCCAAACAGTGAAGTGTCTGGGCATTCTTGGAAATATGTGGGGGAAAGATGCAGCAGTTAATGCTGTTACTGTATTCTTCTTCAGCCCGTTGGTATTTTGGAAATCGCTGCTTTGATGAAAGTACATGACAGAGGTAACCTTTTAAGCACCTAGCAAGAGAATATCCTGGAGTTAAAGGGTTGATTTTGAGCTCATTGGACTTGCATTTAACTGGTTATGGGAATGCAAGAATGTGCTTAAGGATTTGCTTACACTTTATTTTATGAACTGGTCTGTCTTGAGATTCTTTTTGTAATTTTGGTTTGTGATAATGTGGCACAGTGAGGTCGGTAGCAAGGAGTGAGGAGGTAATAAGCTGGAGAACTGATGCTGTACACAGAACATCTGTATAGATTCCTATATAAGGAAACTGTATTCTCTGTCTGCCATCTGGAGAGGCCCTCTGCATTGCACTATATTCAGCTGACAAGCTTTGAAACCAAGAGCAGACTTTTCAATAGGTTCATCCAGAGGGAGAAGGAAGAGGAATTATTTTATATTTGTATGGTTTTGCATGAATATATAGGAAATATAAAATAACTTAATATCAGTGACATTCCTGTAAAATAAAAATGCAGTATTAGAAAAATGGCATCTATTTAATTATAATGACTGAATTTCTTTTCTCTTAGGGGGGTGAAAAAACAACACAAGAATAATGTAGGCCATGGTAGTCAGAGTTAATGTTTTTGAATCTTGATGTAGTCATTGTTCCTTCCTTTCCCCCCTGCCCCCCTTTTTGCTTCTATGACTTTCATTGTACTGAAAATCAAGTTCCTACCTATCTTTGCATTCCAACATGCTGTCTTTTATTCCCTTAACACCATATTTTCAAGTATGGGAATAATGACATACAAAATTTTGAAACAATATTTACCTGGAAGATTCAGTATTATGTTCTGCTTCTGATAATTCTTTTTATGTTATAATCTGAATTAGGGTAAAGTACATATTAAATTCCTGATGTTCTGTACTTCCCTTGGACAAGAAGGTATGAATAGATTTTGGGGTTTTTTTGCTGTATTAGTTTATCTTTATTTCTGTTTTAATGCAGACTCAAGAATGAACAATCCGTCAGAAACCAGTAAACCATCAATGGAGAGTGGGGATGGGAACACAGGTAAGAAATGATGAATTGGTGCACAGATATTTTCTGGTGGAATTGAATGGATATTAAAAGCAAAATTTCTTTACCAGTTTACAGGAATTAAAAAACAAACCCACCCCCCCGTTTTTAGAGACTTGGGAACACTTTTGTCTTGTCATTAACCCTACTGTATGCAGGGATTATTCACACCTACTGTATCAGAGCACTACCCACACTTTGTATATAAGATTCCCCTTCCCCACTTCCTCTATCTGTAATGTTTCTGATATTATGGAAGGTCTGGTGGTACTAGCTCTCCATAAGTAGTCTCATTTTTTCCTGGCAGAACATACCTTTGGCACCTCTAACTTTGTCATTTATTTTTGGGTTGAAATTTTCTCTGGCAGATGTGGGCCACTGGCTGATCCTGTTTCCATTTTAGATTTCATTCAAGCTCTCACAACAGTTCTCAAGAACAAGACAAAGGGAGAAAGCATCACTTCCCAACATTAAAAAAAAAAAAAAAAAAAAAAGTTAGCCGGCTTTTCTGTAATGTCTTTGTGTGTTAGAACAGAACCTTGAAATTTGGCTGGGGAAGAATAACCTTTGTGTTAGGGCGAATGTGCCTTTTGGCGAGTCCTTAAGATGTGGCCAAGTTCTAAGCCATTGAAGAAGCTTGTTAAGCCACTATAACTGAATCATGCTATCTCATGCTTTAATTCCTTTCTGGAGGTAATTTAACATTCATTCTGGAAGCAAGAGAAATGACAGTTCTGAATGGAAAGTAAATAGTTTAACCTAACTCAGAATCTTCTCTGAGCTCAGAATAGCATTTGGTAAGAGAAAATTTTAATGAGAGGGAACTTGTTCTTGTTGCTTTGAGAAAAGTCTAGTTACCTTGTATGAGGAAAATTATTTTTCCTCCTCTTGGTTCAGTTATAAGAGTTTTATTTTAAACTCTGGAGTTGTGATGAAATTAACAATTTGTTTCATTTTGTGCTGCTGTCTCCTCATTCTTTGTGCAAGGCTTTAATCCAGCTAAGAGTGACTGAATGTTCCCGATACTGATCCGAGAGGCTGGATGTTTTCTGCCAATGCATGGGGTCAGTCAAAAGGAATCCTGCTCACTTATTAATGTGTGTTTTGTTACTGGGATCTCAGTTTCTATATTTCTGTTGTATTTGTAATAGGAGAGGTACCAATTCTTTTTATGTACAAAAATGATTTTTTATGTATTTAATACTGGTTTAGGATGATATAAAACATTATTTCAAAAAACGTATGGGCTGTAAATATTTCATAATCATAAACAGCATCAAGAGAACAGTGGTTTTAAATATCCCTATAGAATCCTTGTAGCTGGAGTAGTGTGTGTAAACTTCTCAGAAAATTCAGACTTCCTGCTCTGTGTGACTGGAGTTCCCTGCGTCTGTCTTTTCTAAAGAGTGCATTCCCAATGTGCTTCCTTAAGTGCAGCTTTAACTAGCAGTTTCACCTAAACTGAGCTGTTAAAGAAGAGGACTTGGTTTATTCAAAGGTAGGCCATTATCACAGTACTGCATCTGCTTCAGCAGAACCCTGGCTCTGCTCTCCTAGGCAAATGCTTCATCAGTGTGAAGGTGGTGGTCATGGTATAAAGCAATTGGTGGCATGTAAAGCTGCATGTAGGTGCTTTCATCACAAAAGGGGATACAACGTCTGTATTTTTTTATATTCTAATATTAGGGTTAGTTATTACAAAAGTTTGACTCTTACTGGTGTTTGGACCTTTTGCAAACATTGCTTCTGTAATTTAAGTGTTCCCAGTCATTCCTTTCAGGTTTGTTTCCTGACTTTTAAAATGATGCAAACTAAAATAATCTAGAATTTTTGAGGAGCCTTTGTTCTGCAGTCCTTGTTTTGTTTTTAAATATAGTGCTCATAAACCACTGGAGGTAGTGATTAATGGCATTTGTGACGTTCTCTGGGGGCTCAAACATCAGTTGCATTAGTCAACTGGCAGATGTTAAACCCTGAAAGGAATACTCACGGAATGTAATTTTAGGCTTCTGATCAGGGTACTTAGATTACGGTTCTGGGCTCTGTGCATACTTAGTGAAAAGAAAGTCAGCTTTGAGCTCGGATGCTAAGGAACTGGAAGTGCCATTGATTGTCTGGGGAGCATAGGCTCTGAAGCAAAATGTGTGAAGATGATTTTTATAAACACTCAGAGTTCTTATTTTTGTAACTTTCTGTAACTGTCTATTTTCCAGTGACACTTGTAAATCACTTGAGTCTGCTGTGTAAGCACTACTAGTCTATCTTTTGAACCTCAGTGGATGTTTGTTTGGGTCATTCCTGTTTTAAACTGTAGTAAGCTGATGCAACTTGAAAATTTTAGGAGAAATTACTTTAGGGCATGGAACTTAACATTTGGCAGAGGTAGTGTTCTCAGAAAAAAAAAATACAGTTGCCACTGGTAAAGATGACTTAACATCAGTAGTTCTCTGAGCTAACAGCTAAGTTTCATGGAAGTTAACAAATTAGGGTTTTGTATTTCTAACTCTGACTATTTAGGGAACATAGTAAAGTCCCTCGAATATATTGGTCACAAAAAAATGCCTGAAACAGATTTTAACTTTAAAATTTTTGTGCTAAATGGACTCCCCTTTTAAGCATCTGAAAAAGCAACCCATATTTCAGATGAATTAAAAACAACAACAAAAAAAAGTCCTTATGAGTACAAGAGTTGTTGGATGGCTGTTTTCACAAAAACATGAATTGATCAACTGTTCATCAGTACTGCAGAATTACACAAATCTTTTCCAACCTTCAGTTGTGGGTGTACAGTCTACTTAGTGTATCTACTGGAAAAAAGAGAGAGCAGTAAGAAGGGTGTCTTACAGTAAATGGATAGCCCTTTTGGTTTCCTTTTTATAGGTTGCAGCATAAAATTTTCCAGAACAACTCAACCTTTTTTGTTTGTTTAATGTATATTCTTTTTTAAAAGCTGTGTGAATGCAGTACTATGAAAGCCAAGTTTATAGTGTCTATGGAAAGTGTAGTATTATGACATGCATTGACATAGCAGCAAAATAATAATTTTTGTAAGTGTAGTATTCGGAAGGATTCTAAGGATTCTTGTTTGCATTGCTTCATTTCCAGAGGTTGATTTTCCAGTTTCCATAAGAAGAGAGTCTATAGGAGAGTGGGAGAGGGACCATGAAATATTCTTTAACTGCTAAAATTCTGGGCTAATATCGATACTAAACTTCCTACTAGTAATGTGGACGAGGAATCCACAATTTCTGAGTATTGGGGCTATCTCTCTCTCTCAATGTGGGAGGGGCACGAGGGAGAGAGAGATGGGGAAATGTACTGCTGGTGCTGGAAGATATCTCCCAGAGCACAGTGCAGATACCCACTCAAGTTAGCTTTGAAATCTTCCTTCTTGTTTGCCTTCCCTTTCTGAGTCCTTTCTTGCACCTTATTCCACATCTCCCCAGACCTGTAGTTCCTCACTCCTCTTCCTTATGCAGTTTGTAAACTCAGACTTTAGTCTGATGATTACGATCTTGGATTTTGAGAGTATGTTCTCCTGACTGCAGGTGCAATGTTACCATGCCTGTTCCATTTTGTCATGCCTTTACCCTCTGCAGGTACAATTCCAAGACAGCATAAACTAATCCACGTTCAGGGTGTCCTGGTACTTAGTGTTCTGTTCCTTTTCCTGGAGTGGCACTGGGTGAGATTGTTCAAAGATTTGATTTGGCTGAAAATTAATTGCACTTAGCATTAGTCTTCATCCAAACCAACTCCATGAAGTAGCTAACGACATGGCTGAATTTATGCCAGAATTTAAACGTGCTTAAGTTGCATTGGACTTGGGCTATAAGGGTGAAATTTCATCCTGCAGCTTGATTCGGTCTTAACAACTTGCTGGGGGCGGGGGAGGCTCAGTTCCCTACTACCACATCTCTGACCTCCCCTGCTTTGCATTATCTGCTGCTTGCTGGGCCCTAAGGTAAGTTAATTCATCTCACATAACTGGCAGGGAACTAACTTGGCCAAAAGAAAAAGGGAACAGTTCACATGAATAGTTTTCTACTCAGTTAGAAAGGTGAATTAATTGGCTTACTGCTGTGTCCATGAACTACCAGAAGGGGCAGGACAGGAACAATGTAGTTGGAACCAAGAAGAAAGGAGAGATGGGAGATGGAGAGTTCCCACTCCTGTTTTTTTTGGTGTTGGTGAGCTGTTAGATCAGCTCTAGCAATTATGGGAGCTGGGATGGAGATGGAAAAGACATAAATACTTGGGATTGTTAAAATCACAATACCTGTGATTGCATCTGCTGTGTCTATTAATCACCATGGGTTTTTGCATTTAACTCTTACCTTGAGCAGAAGTGGCATTCTGGTCCTTTCATGTTCTTAAAATGTGCTGACCTGCTTCTGACAGCTCCGTTTTCCAGTCTCCTTATCAGATTTCTTGGATTCCGCAGGAGTGGTGTCACATCCTTACGAGCACCTTAAGAACAAGGCCTCTCATATGCTGGACTCAAAGTTCATTTTCCCTGCTGTTCTTCAAAAGATGTAGGCATCCTGTGATAAATGCAAGCAACCTGGGTAGCATTCCTTCCAAAACTAAGGCTGCATCCGAAGGGGAAGGGACACTGTATTCCAAATACTAAAGAAAGCTTAAGATGCAAGTAGAACAGAGAGTGAACAGGTGTGGTTTGTGTTTATTTTGCTCTGAGTTTGGTTTTGGGAGGCGTGGGGAGAGGAAGTTGGAGTCTGTCAAGGTTGAATTTAAAGAAACTACTGTTTTCTCTCAGTACCGGTCTAAACTGTTGTTTGGGACCCATGGAGATTTTAAGCTCAGTCTTGGAACTCACTTTGTTCAAAACTATCAACCCTAGAAGGCTCGTTTCAAATCTCTATATTAAGAGTCAGCAGAAGCGCTAACTGGAGCTTTTCTTCTGCACACATGCACAGCAGTGCTCTTTTAATATGGTATCGTGATTTGAGACTCTTTTTGGAAGATAATTAACTAGAACAGCTTCCTCTCTTTATTTAAGGTGAAGCTTCCAGCTAGTCCTCTCAGAAATGGATAATTTTTTTGACCCCTGCTAGTTTCCAATTGGAATGAGGAATATCTGCCTTACAGTAGGTTTTCTTATCTCTATTTTTTTTTTTCCCTACTTGGGGGTCCCTGAACACAGGTTGAAAACTGATTCAAAGCGTCTGGTTTTTTTTTAATTACTGTAGTAGCTGTTTGTCAGGAATTATTTTTATATATTTACCCAATCATCTTCCCACTCCTTTTGGCCTTCTGCATTGAGAGAATTCTGCAGTTTACTGGAAAGAATGAAAATAGATGATATTCTTCTAGCTCTTCCCAGCAGACCTTCTCTAACTTTCTTTGAGAAGATGGAGTTGCATGGAGAAATGCAACCAAGTTACATTCATTCAAGATCAATTCAGACCAGTGATAGTCCTTCCATTCGCTTTGGATTGGAATTTTAGACTCATAAAGCAAAATAGTTTTATGTAGTTTACAATTTGAATATTTTTAACATGTCTGTGGATCTTTGGCTGCGCATATGTCTCTTAAGTCTGTAAACCATGGCCCAAAGCATAGAATTAAAAACTTGAGTGGACCAACTCCTACCCCACAGCACCTCCACCAAAGATGCATCAAAGGGCCACCTTAGGTATACCTTACATGGCTGCTGGAAAACTTGACTGTCTACATTGTGTCTGTATTTAATTGAACAGTGACTCCATCTTTAGAAATTTTATCTAAGTACGCTGTTGTAGGTCAAAATAACAATGTAAAATGTTGGATGGTGTATTTTACTAATCAAATTTTACACCTGCTTGCTTTTGCAGATGTTTCTAAAGAATAGCAAACCCCTGTTGTTGTTTAACAACTGTGACTCTCTTTTGCTTAGTAGATAACCTAGATTTTTATGGCGAAAAATGTAGATGATGGAAGGAATTTTGAAGTAGGATTTAGTTGAACACCTGTCCATAGGCACTGGACAAAATCTGATAGTCATGAAAAGTAAGCATGCAAGTCTAAAGCTGGTTTTACTTCATTTCAGTCACGCAATTTTTAAGACTGCATCACCTGTTCTAGAAATTCCACACAGCCTGATACACTTAGAGTTTCCCTTCTTGTTGTTAGCCACTGTAAGTAGTAATACCCAACATACAAAACCAGTTGTTGATAATCCCTAATGTTGATTTTATCATCCCCCCACAGAATGATTCCTAAAAGTTTGTAGTTATAGTTCCTCTTGGAAGAAGAGAATTCTGTGGTATTTTCTTGTGGAAAAAATGTTTGTTGTTTGGGTTTTTTTTTTCTTCCTCCTCCTTCTCACAAACAGATTATTTGGGGATAGCTTGGGGGTTTTCATGTCTTCCAAACTGTTTAGGAAGAAGACAACAAAAATGTAGGAAAGTAATCAGGTTTTAGCTATACGAAAGTGAGTGAGAGCAACAGCAAGCCAAAAAGGCAGTTATCTTATGTAATGAGAGCTCTGCACAAATATTCATGGAAATGTGGAGGTATCTTTTATCAAAAGAGTAAAACTGTGGCCCATGACTGCTATGTATATACAGTACTTCTGTTTTCATCAAGTATTATTTTACCTGTCTTTAATGAAAGGTGACTTTATATCAACCTTGTTCTTGCCGCTTTCTGAACTTGAAGGTAGTCTTCAGCTGCTGGATAGAGGGTGCATGGAGAATGGAAACACAGTTTAACCTTAGCAGCATGCACCCATTTGGTTCTCAAAACGTGGTAGAGAATGATGGGGTAATAGTGTACATAGAGTAGATAAGATGATAGAAGCTAAAGAAAATATGATGTTGATTTTTTTCAGCTGACAAATGCTGTATTACTGAAGTCTGGAAGTGACACTGCTTCCCCAGAGTATATTCTCAGAGTATTTTTCTACTACATAGTATTGAGAGAATAGCAGGAGACTTAGGAATATTAATTCTTTTTCCATTTCATAAAAGTAATAACTAATAGTTCTTAATATCTCTCTTTCTCCAGGCACGCAAACAAATGGCCTGGACTTTCAAAAGCAGCCTGTGCCTGTCGGAGGAGCAATCTCTACAGCCCAGGCCCAGGCCTTCCTTGGGCACCTTCATCAGGTAAGAGAAGACCCATTTCAAAGTAGGGGTGACTCGGGCAGGTACGAACACAGCTGCTCTTTTATGTTTTCTCTTTCTGTGGATCATGGGTAGTCATGTAAAGGAATATGGGTAGACCACGTGCTTAAATAGCTTGGATGGGAAAAAAGCTCTTATTGTGGCACTCACTTCATTGCATTAGGCTGCAGAATACGTCAAGATAGGGTGAGACCTATTTGAGGGAACTAGAAAGCTGCTTTTTGGGGACTTGAGAATTCCTAAAGTTTGTTTTTGTTTTATACCTTAATGCAGATAGCAAATTGAAAGGCAAGGTAAAATTTAATCTTTTTGGTAAAGGACTGTATTGGCCCAACAGCTTCCGAGGTTCTGAAACTGTCACTACCTAGTTAAGAAACCAGAAGTGGTGTTGAATGGTAGTCAGCACTATGCTTCAATATTTCAACTCTTAGACATTAATTAGAGTGATCGGACTTACTAAGCATATATGGTTTGTGAGTTTTTAATTTTATTTTTTTTTAAAGTTATTTCAAGGACCTGTTTGTCAGATGATATTCAGGCTTCTACCACTATCCCTCTGTTCTGCTGCTGCTGTGTTTAGGGAATCAAAGCTGAACTTCAGATGTAGGCTGAAGCAAAATGTGGCATCCCTAGGTGAAGAGAAGTATAAGGGGCATTTTTTGTAGTTTTTTATCTGCTCGCACTTCATGTATGAAAACAAATGTCCTAATTTCTTCCCCTTCCTCAGCACCAAGTTTAAACTTTAAAATATTGTACCTAATTGGCTGACCTTGAATGTTTGAGGTCTGAGGTTGCACAGTTATTGTGGTATAATTGACGTACTGAAGCTTTTATGCCCTCTTTTTAAGAGCTCTGAACTGCCATTTTATTGTATGGAACATTCCACACGTCTTATCACATAATTACAATTTTCCAAGTAGGTTGGGTTATATAGGACCTAGGGAGTCCCAGTGTTTGAATTTGCTGAACCAATAGACTGTTGTAGGTTGCCTTTATGTGGAGAGAAGCTGACTAGTTTTCATGGGTTGTCAGTGTGTGTTTAACATGGAGACAGATACAGCTGTTCTGCAGAATTTTGTGTGTTTGTTTTAGTCTTTGTTTTGTTATGTAGGTTGATCCAGGACAGTAATTGTATTTAGCACAGTGCTTTATCTTGCTTTGGAAATGTATTTATTTAAGCAGTTGTCAGGATCTTTATAACTTCATGTTTGATAAAGTGTGATTCATTTCTTGAAACTCTAGTTCAAAGGAAAATCTCGGCTATTCTTTTACGCACCTGCAGGTGTGTGGGAATCTATTGTCAAACTGTCCTCTTCTAGTGTAGCTGCTGTTAGTGGGGTGTTATTCAGCCTTAACACACAGTGCTTTCCTCCAGACTAATAAAAAATATTAGTCTGTAGGCAACATTCAGGAACAATTTAATTTCTAATCAGAAAATGTTTGTTGTGTGGTGGAAGGGGGTGTCCAAATTGCATTCAAAGAGATTTTCAGCAATACGCTGTCTGTACCTGAGTGAGATACATTTGTAGTCTTTTATGTGGGGTTTTTTATTATTATGTAATTTTTAAAGTATTATTTCCGAGTATATTTTATGGATGGCAGGCTATTACTGTTTAGATTATTCTCTGCTGTTAGTTCATGTTAAAAGCTCAGATTACATCAACTGTGTCAAACTGTATTTTGCTTGTGATGAGGAGGAGCTTTTCTGGAAGTGTTTGCTTAGATGTAGAACATGCTTAGTAAGTCTAGTACCTTCATCTAGAGGGGTAGGAAATATTTCCAAGGTGACTCTTAAGGGTTGCCTGTTCGAATATTCAGTTATTCATTTCATGTACTGCAATTTAAATTAAAACTCTCCTTCCTGTGCTTGCAGATATGTGGACTCTCTTTTGTGATGTATGTTATGTGGGGACATCTTTTTATAGAGGCAAGAGTACTACATTTTGCTTTGCTTTATTGTATCCTTATGTGTTGCCTGGTTTTCAAATGAGCAGTGGTTTTCAAACATGGCCAGAGATGGAATTCACTACAGGCTGTAACTCTGACCTTTGAAAGTGTTGGTAATTAATTACATAGCATTCCTTCTTTATAGTAGGAGTGGTGGCAGAAACAAGGCGAGACTGATTAAAACGGTCTTCAGTAAATGAAAATTTAGCATTTGTTGTACAGAGAAAATCCTTATTAGAGATAAAATAACACTCCTTGAAAATCTCACTTTCTGAAGCATCAGTTTTTCTTCACTGCTAACCCACAAGAACTTCTTTGGACCTGTTAATCACAAACATTGAATTCAAGTTTTGAGTATACCTGAATCAATACAGCCTTTGTAAAGTGTCTCCAGTCCTCTGTATTGAGATCTTCTTTTCAGTGGCTGAGGACTGCAAATACTTGAATGGGTTGATCTGAG